AGGTCCTCAGGACCTGTCGCTCCTCTCCTCCGCCCTCTCCTCTCCAGCTTTCCTCGAATACTTCTGCAGTTCCCATCTTTTGGCAGCACCTCCCCTACCACCTAGTCCCTCCTAAGTGGAAATTTCTCTGGCCCTGAGGATGTGGCAGGGTGGAAGGGGGCTCCCAGGCCAGAGGATGGACAGGTCACCCCTACTTCCTGAGAGTGCCAGTTCCACACACCACCACTGTAGCCCCTCAGGCGGGCAGACAAGCGGGCTGTGGGAACCCCAGCCAGGCGGGCGGAGATGTCGGGATAATTTAGCAGGTGGCCTCGTTACTCCCAGATCTGTCGCCATGGTAACCTGGTTTTTTCTTTAAAAAATGTACAGTGCCAAGAGGAGGAAGATGGCTGACAAAATCCTCCCTCAAAGGGTGAGTGCCTTTCACAGCAGCCCCCAGCCCACCCCCCTCTGCTGCTCCGCCCTCCTCCCCCCACCCCTTGCTGGTGCCCCTCCCCCCTCAGAAGCAGAGCTTCGGCGTGGCAGTCACTTTCACTTTTTGTTTAAAAAGCTCATTAAGAAGTGAAGCTCCCCAGGCCAGAGGGAGGAGGTGAGGCAGCAGGAAGGAGCAGAGCCACAGCCAGAGCCTTGGTCCTGAGGTTCAGGAGGAGACAAGAGCCAGGGGATCAGAGGCTGCTGAAGGGCACGGAGGGTGGCCAGAGGCCCTGGGCATCATGAAGGGACCTAGGCTCAGCTGAGTATGGGGGCAGCACGGCTGAGACACTGGGTGTGGGGGCAGGGGGCTGTGCCAGGGTAGAGGTAAGCAGCGACATCCCCTGACAGCCTCAGGGACGTGAGCCCCTAAGCACTTTAGAGAGGCCCAAGGGAAGCCCAGCAGCCTAGGACAAGACAGGAGGTGAAAGGCTAGCACTTGCTGGGCTCCACGGTTGTGACCTCCTCCCCTGGTGAGGAAATGCATGGCTCTCCCAGAGGGAGAAGCAATTTGCATCCCTACACGTTGAGGGCCCTTGCTGCTGGGTAAGGGAATCTTGGGGAGAGGTCCTGTTCTGACTCTCAAAATTCCACACCCTAAAATTGGACGGCTCCCTCCATGTCCTTTGTACCCTGGGACTGAACAACACACATGCATTCTACAGCACTAGAGAGGTTGAACCCTGACTCCCGCCGTGCTCCTCCTCCCCCAGATTCGGGAGCTGGTCCCCGAGTCCCAGGCTTACATGGACCTCCTAGCATTTGAGAGGAAACTGGATCAAACCATCATGCGGAAGCGGGTGGACATCCAGGAGGCTCTGAAGAGGCCCATGAAGGTGCCTTACTTTGGGGGTAGGAAGGGGGCTCTGAGTCCCATGCCCAGGATGGCGAAGCAGGGGGCCCAGGTGGGAGCACACAGCCTGTGCTCTGTACCACACTCTTTATCTCTACAGCAAAAGCGGAAGCTGCGTCTTTATATCTCCAATACTTTTAACCCTGCGAAGCCTGATGCGGAGGATTCTGATGGCAGCATTGCCTCCTGGGAGCTGCGGGTAGAGGGGAAGCTCCTGGATGATGTACGTCCTGGCCCAGGTCTCTCCAGGTGTCCTGGGGTGGGTATGGGCTAAGCTGAGAACAGAACTAGATGTTTGTACTAAGGGTTCGGGGGTCAGTCCTTGGCTGGGGTGGGTGGGCCTAGAGAGACATCCTGGGTGCAGAGGATTGCACCTAACCATGCCGCCCTGCCCGATGCCAATTTGGCCTCCTTTTGCCCCCACGGTCCCTGTTCCTCTCCTACAGCCCAGCAAGCAGAAGCGGAAGTTCTCCTCCTTCTTCAAGAGTTTGGTCATTGAGCTGGACAAAGATCTTTATGGCCCTGACAACCACCTTGTAGAGGTAAGACTGCAATTCCTCCTGCCCTTCGAATCACCACCCTCCCACAGGCCCAGGTTCCTGAATATCCTGCAGAATTGGATTGGGGACCAATGTAGAGCCCTGGGCGCCGCCAATCCAGATGGGCCTGCAGGTGACGCAGCTCTTCTCTCCTGGACAGTGGCATCGGACGCCCACAACCCAGGAGACGGATGGCTTCCAGGTGAAGAGGCCCGGGGACCTGAGTGTGCGCTGCACCCTGCTCCTCATGCTGGACTACCAGGTCTGCACCTGCCCCACCACTCTGCAGATGCCACGTGAGGCACCTGGGGTGGGCCTGGGCCCCAAAGTTGCACATCCTGAGAGACCCCCTTCTCCCTACCCCATCCTTCTCCAGAAGCACATTTCCAAGGAGCCCAATCACCATGTCCCCTCTAGTCCCAAGCTGCTGGGCCCTGAGCTCTTTCCATTCCTAATTTTCATGGTCATCTTTCCCCAGCCTCCCCAATTCAAACTGGACCCCCGCCTGGCCCGGCTGCTGGGGTTGCACACACAGAGCCGTTCGGCCATTGTCCAGGCCCTGTGGCAGTACGTGAAGACCAACAGGCTACAAGACTCTCACGACAAGGAATACATCAATGGGGACAAGTATTTCCAGCAGGTAACCTCTCTCCTGAACCCCGGGATCTGGGGAGCAGGCAGAGTGCTCCATCAGGGAAGTACTTCTACTAAGGTAACTACCACCCCTCCCTTCTAGATTCCTGACTAGCAGAAACGGTACATGGTCATGGCCTTGGAGTCAAGAGACTGACCAGGGTTCTCGTCCAGGCTCTGCTGTGGATTAGCTTTGTGCTGCAGCCAATCCACTTTAGCCTCCCCAAGTTAGGAAGATCCAGAACCCTTCAAAGCCAACAGCTTTCTGGAATGTAATATTCTTGGCACTTGGAAATAGGATCCCCGGTTCTAGTGCTGGGTCTAGACTTTGGGTAAATTACTAGCAATTCTGAGCCTCGGTGCTTGTATTTGAAGTGGAGGGGTAAAACCTGTCCCATCTAATCTCTTGGGCAGTTACGAAAAACTACCAAAGTAGAGAGTGTTTTTATTAATGGATTTTTAAATAAATACAGCAGATAAACCTGAGGAGTGAAAAGAGCAGTTGGTATTTATTGAGCACTTACCACTGTTCCGAGCACTTTGTGTGTATTCACTGATGATTCTCACGACAACCCTGTGAGACGGGTATCATCGTCCCCACCCTAAAGAAGACGCTGCGGCCTGAGGTGTTAGGTAACTTGCTCAAGGTTGCGCAGTAAGTGGTGGATGCCCAGGCAGGCAGCCCAGGGCTGTGCTTTCAACCACTGCCCCACACCAACGGCCTCCTTGTCAGCCGGGCTGGTGACCCCACCCCAATCCCATACCCGTGAGCACCGAGGAAGCAGACTCGCAGCTTCTTGTGGCCTTTCTAGGATGGAAGGATCTAGAACTATAGTTACAATCTTTTCAAACACAGAATGACCTCTCTCTCCCCAACTGTCCTGCTTTAGATTTTTGATTGTCCCCGGCTGAAGTTTTCTGAGATTCCCCAGCGCCTCACAGCCCTGCTGCTGCCCCCCGACCCAATTGTCATCAACCATGTCATCAGGTGAGGTGGCCCCAGCTTGCTTCTCAGCCCGGGGAATTATCTCATTCCTGCCTTCTCTGCCTTCCCTCTCCTCCCATTCCCATCTCCCCTCCCTTGCTATTGGGTCTGCCCCAGCCCCAGGACCCCTGGCCTCTGTGGGGGGAACCACAGACACCAAGGGCTTGATTTCTCTGGCAGCGTGGACCCGTCAGACCAGAAGAAGACGGCGTGCTATGACATTGACGTGGAGGTAGAGGAGCCACTGAAGGGGCAGATGAGCAGCTTCCTCCTGTCCACGGCCAACCAGCAGGAGATCAGTGCTCTGGACAGTAAGGTGGGGCCCAAGCCCAGAGCTGAAGTGGGACATTAACCCGGAGAGGACAGAGCAGATTTAAAAGAGGCACACAGCATGGGCCTATTGGGAGACGAGGGGACACGTGGCCCTTCCGTGCTACTTGGAGCTGAACCTCATCCCAAGTTTAGTTCTGCCCATCCCCTTTCCCTGGGACTTCAGGGGCTCAAGATTTGCCCTTCATAGGAAAAGTCAGCCCCTCCTCCCTCCACACCCACCGTCCTCGCCCACATCACCACGGCCAGGTGGAAAGCATCTATCTTTCTACCTGTAGATCCATGAGACGATTGAGTCCATAAACCAGCTCAAGATCCAGAGGGACTTCATGCTAAGCTTCTCCAGAGACCCCAAAGGCTACGTCCAAGACCTGCTCCGCTCCCAGAGCCGGGACCTCAAGGTGAAGAGGGAGAGTCGGGGGGACTGGAGTGGAAGACAAGCACATCAGGAAAGCCAGTAAACACTGTATGCCAGGGGCAGGTGAGGGGTGAGGGGCTCAGGGCTAACCCCATGCTCCCTCCAGGTGATGACAGATGTAGCTGGCAACCCCGAGGAGGAGCGCCGGGCTGAGTTCTACCACCAGCCCTGGTCCCAGGAAGCTGTCAGCCGCTACTTCTACTGCAAGGTATGGAGGGGCCCTTGTCCTGAGGCTCCCCTTGCTCCACCTGAAGGAAACCTCCCTTCTCAGCTGGTGCGGTCCTTGCCACTCCCCCGTGAAACTTCTCCACCACACTGCCTCTCCGTGCAGTAGCCCTCCCGGCTCCCAGCTGCTCTTCCAGGGCAGGGGGTATCTGTAGGTGGTTTGTCCTGATCACTCACCGGGAACACTGTAAACTGTTCCTGCTCTCACTTCCTCTAAAGATCCAGCAGCGCAGGCAGGAGCTGGAGCAGTCGCTGGTCGTGCGCAACACCTAGGAGCCCCGTGCGTATGCAGCACTATGGACCTTCTGGCTGCGCCCTGTTCCCCCAGCGTTCTGCCCTGGGCTCTGGCATCACTCTCTGCTGCCTTGGGGTTGGGGTGCTGGATTAAAAGTGATTCATCTGACAGCAGCTGTGTGGTCGTTGGAAACTGGGAAGGGTAGGGGGTATGGAGGAGGGAGGGGGAAGGCAGTGGGTGCCTCTGGACAAATTCCCCACAACCCTCCCTTGGATTCTTCTCCTTACTCCATTTTCCCTAGACCTAAAAACAGTTTGGCAGAAGACACTTTTAATAACATTTTCTTGTAAAAAAAATACAGCGGCAAGCCCTCCATCTGTCCATCACCCTGCCTTGCCCTTCCTGGGGCTCAGGCAGACACAGGGAAATGTAAGGTTACAGCCCTGGGGGGTGCTAAGTGCTGTTGGCCTGCTCCTGCTCAAACAGAGCCATGGCCAGCTGGGCACGGCCCCCCAGCCCCTCCAAGTTGCTGAGGCGGCAGCGGTGGTAGAGTTCCTCACTGAGCCGTGGGTTGCAGTCCCGCAGGGAGAACTTCTGCACCAGCCCTGGCTCTACGGCCCGAAAGAGGTGGAGCCCTGAGAACCGGAGGAAAACATCCATCACCTCCAGCCCCTCCAGGGCTTCCTCCTCTTCCTGACCTGCCAGTTCACCAGCCAGCCGGGCTCGGGCCGCCAGGTAGTCAGCATTGTAGAAGCAGCCCTCTGCAGATGACTGCCGGTCAAATCTGCCCCCCACGGGAGCCCCCCTGGAAGGGTCAGCACCAGGAGGGGATGGAGGGTCAGGGCCAGCCCCTGGGGGCCCTGCGGGTGACCTCTGTGGTGACAGGGCAGGGTTGAACTCCTGGAAATGGACTGGAAAGAAGGCCTGCCAGCCAGAGATGGCATTCATGCGGCAGCGGTTGAGGACTTCCGGCCCAGGCCTCGTCCACACAGTGGTGAGGAAGAAGAGAGTGTCCACGGGGTGCTTCTTGGAGACCACGTCCATGAGTCGCACCTGGGAAGGGGCTTCTGCTCGCACAGCAAGCCAGGCGAGCCTTGTCCCAGGGTACCGTCGCTCTAACTCGGCCGCTGAAGCCTTCACCCCAAGAAACGGGTCTGGCGCCCCACGGCCACCTTCTCGTGGCCCATAGACCAGAAGCAGGGTGAGCAAGGCATGTTCTCGTGGCTCCAGAACACTGGCTGCAAAGGTCTCAAGGAAAGCCAAGGCCGCAGCAGCTTCAGCCACCAGGAGCGGTAGCACCAGCTGCACTCGGGTGGCCTCGGTGACATAGGGCATAGGTAGGATTTCCACCCGGCTCAGTGGCCGCAGCAAGCTGACCCTGCGGGCCAGGGCCCGCCGGTGCCCACGCTGAGTCACACATTCCAAGAGCAAGTCCAGGGTGTACTCCATGCCCCGTGCTGGATCAAAACGCCGGTAGCCGTTGAGCAGCTGCTGCTTCTGGAAGCGCAGGCGAGGCTGATAGCGCCGATTGAGCTGCTCCAGGGCAGTCTCCACAGCGTCGCCCACGTCTGCCCTGCTAGCCCCCTGCAGTGGGCACTTGGGAGCCCCATCTGCACAGGAGAAGGTGTGCTGCTCTGTGAAGTAGTCCCAGCCCAGCACCTCAAAGCGAGAGCGTGGTGTGAAAGGGGCCGGGAGCCCGACAGGCCAGCTCAGCCCTGCCTCCCCCTCCGGGGTCAGCACTGTCAGGTTCCGGATCTGAGCCTAGGTTGGAGGGAACGTGCCCGATGTCAGTACCAGCTCCAGGACCCTACCCAGCTCCGGCTGCCCAGGCCCTGACAGTCAAACAGCTGAGTTCTGTCCTAACTCTGTCAACGCTTAGTGAGGGGCCCCCTGGCTAATCGTTTCATTCCCTATATGTTCTATTCTTCATCTATAAAATGCAGAAGGAATAAGATCATACCCACCTTACACAACTGCCGTGAGGAGGAAAATGTGCTTCTGCACAGGCAGAAGTATCTTGAAATATAGAGCTCAACACCCTTTCTCTCCCACGCCCAGAGGACTCACATCCACTTCGTGATCAGACCCTTGTTTTCATCTGTACTCCACCTCTGACATTCAGCTAAAGAATTCTTCTGCCTTCTACTCTTGGGCTTTCTTGGGATAGTTCTAGAAAGTTCAGGAACTTCTGGAGTTTCGCCTCCTTGGTGGAGAGGGACTACTGAGGAGGAGCTACAACTATTCTGTCTGACGCTGCACCAAGCTCCCCGATGCTCTGAGTTAACTGCATTCAGGTTGTTCCGGGAACTCACCTTGTGACTGCTCTGGACCCCCAAGGACCCTTGTCCCTGTGGCTGTTTTAAATCTAAATATGGTCAGCCTCTTTCCACCTTGCCACCATACAGCCCTAGGCCAGACCCTCCATCCCCCAGCTGCCCACTCACTGGCTCGCTGCACACCTGGACATCTCAGGCTCCCGCTGACCCTCCCGTGGTCCTCTGCCCACCTGCTCCTCTTCAGCTTACCTGGAGTTGTTCTATTTCACTGTAAGCCCGCTCCAACTCCAGAGCACTGAAGCGTTTGTGGAGCCGGTACATGAGGGTGCCCTCGGAGACAGGGTGCACGGCGAAGGCACTCAGGAAAGCCGAGCTCCCCTCCTTCTCGGGGTCCCTATTTTTGGCCAGTTCGAATGAGCGATACTGCTGCCCCTATAGGGACCAATCAGACCAATCAATGCTACACACAAGGGCTGCCTGTCCCAAACCACCCTGAATCATACTCAGTGTTCACATCTGTCACCACTGGAGGTGGTGGGGCATTCTTTCTAGCACCTCCCTTAACCTCAGTTCTTACTTTTCACTGCCCACATTTCAGAAAGGAGAAAGTAGGCAACTAAGGATGGCCTCTTCCTGCAAAGAATCCCACTGTTGCTCAAAGCAATGAAAGCCACAAGCCAGAAAATCCTCCTAGTTCTCTGGTTTAGGATGAAAGCTGCCTCTGGTATCTTCTGTTCTTCTCCAGGACAACTAGCATGGCAGCTCTCTGGGTTGGAGAAGCGATCACCTCACTTCACTGGGGAGTGGCCATCGCTAGGACATCCCCATATTGTCCATAACTGATGTGTATATGTCAGGGGAGGTGTGGAGGGCAGGGAGGCAGATGGGGAGGAGGACTGGTGAGCAGGGGCACCTTTCTTTCTCAGGGGTCCCTGACATCACTTTTGATAGCCCCAGGGTTCTAAGATTGCCAAAGCTGAGGAAGGAAGTGCCAAAGGGGCCAGCCAGTGGCTGGGAAGGGCAAAACGAGAGCCTCCGAGGGGCTGCTGAGAAGAAACCAGCAGCACCCAGCCTGGAGACCAAACACTCAATCACCACTAACTTGTCAGGAACTGAGATTGACTTGCAAGAGCTGTCACCTGGTGCTGTGAGACACAGCCGATGCCCAGGGAGTCGATGAGGCAGCGGCCAAGCCACTCGTCAGGACGGGCACTGAGAATGTCTCCTCGGCAGCCATCTAGATGCGGCCGCAAGCGAAGCAGGAGACTCCGTGACAACAGGTAGCCAAATCCCCCATGACAGTACCGGGCCTGCTCGCCTGCGCCAATGAATTCCTCTGCCCGGCCCAAGTATAGGTCTTGGTTGATGCTGAGGTGGCCAGCAAGGGCTGCCAGGCGGGGGGCCTGCACATACGTGTCATCCTGCATGATGAAGAACCAGTCGTAGTCGGCCCCAAAGTGCGTGTGAAGGTGTCGCAGGGTCTCTGACATGAGCCAGGCTGGCCGCTCATCCCCATGCGACACCACCTGCATCCCTGCCGGAGCCCGGGCCCCTCGCTGCCCAGTAAAGTAGAGTAACCGAGGAAAGTGGTGGGCCACTGTGCGGTTCACGGCCACAGCCAGAGTGGAGAGTGTGGCCCGGGAAGTCAGGACAGCTACAAGCAACCGCTCACGAGAGCCCAGCTCTGTCTGGATGTACCGAGTCCTGTGGAGAGACCAGAGTGCCAGGGTCAACTCCCTAATCTTTAGGGACCCAGCTTGTTCAGCATATACATCTCCCTAAAAACAGTGATTTGGAGGTGAGAAAAAAGAGAAGAGAGACCTTCTTTCTCATTAATATTAATTAGTTACTAGAGTGAGTACCCACTGGAGTGAGTACTCTTGCTGACACTGGAATTGATTTGGGAGGGGAGGAGTCTACTACAGATAGATTACATGGGTTACATGCAATTCCTGCCCTGTTCAAGAACATCAAACCCTAATTTAACACCAATGGGTGAGACTTTCTTAGACCTTAGAAGGAGGGAAAAAACAGGAAGAAACGATGATGGAAAATAAGACAAAGAACTGTTCCAAGGTGCTTAACACTGGTTACCAGTGGAAAGGCAGAGGCAAAGACTAAGAGCAGCCCGAAACTGAAGGCTGGGGTCTGGGACTATGCACACATGTAGCTCTCACCTGAGCACCTTCTTGTAGGGCTTGTTGGGATCCCTGTAGTAGGGGACAATCCGGGGTTTGAAGTCTTCATCACTTTGGTCTAGCTGACTTCTTGAGTCTGAATTCTGTGGCCCTCCTGGCTCCCCCACAGCCTCTACACAGGGATCTTCTCCCTCACCCTGGATCCAGGAAACCCGCAAGAGGCTCAGGCTGCACCCCAGAGACAGTCCTAGGATAAGGGGCAGTGCTGGCCGCAGCAGAGCCAACAGGGAGCTCAGTCTCATGGTGGTGGTGGGCCCTGCCATATGGGTGCCCCAGGGGGCACAGCCTTAAGGATCAATGGTTTCACGGGTGCCAGACCAGTAGCAGGCCTGCAGTTTTAACCAGGAAACCTGGGGTCAATGAGGTCAACAACACAGCAAGGTGTGCTGGCTTCCAGGCCCAGCATCCCCAGGAATATTGACTGTCCAGTCTTCACAACTCCTTCTGCCTAGTCTTCAACCGCCAAGATGCTGGATCTAATCCTTGGCCCAAATGGTAATAATTATGAGAACGAATTTCACTCAAATGGGGATTCTGGCCAGTAGAAAAGGGAGGAAGTAAAACGCAATACTGCTAAACCTAACCTATAAAGGACTACACACATCTGTACGCTGGACCTAAGTCAAGAGATGACACCACTGACAAAGAAGGGGATAGGGAAAAGCACATGATCCAGCGAAACAACTGCCACCAACCAGAGGAGTCTGCCTCAGTGGGCCTTTCCTGAAGAATGCCTGGCTCTGGCACCATGCCTGACTCAGGCGACTGGAGGGGCTGCTGACCTACTCTGGCAGGCGGGCACAGGGAAGGGACCAGAATCTCTTTCTACTCTGCTCACTGCCAAGTGTGAAGGAAAGGCAGTGGCTACAGTAACCCCTCCTCCTGCCACTCGGGAGCGGTCTGGAGCCACTGCATGGTACACATAAGTTCTGCCCACCCAAATGAGGTAGACAGATGCGTGACTCAGCACTGACAACCTCTCGGAGGAGCAATGGCTGATAGAACCATCTAGCAGACCATTCTACGAATCCCAGCTGCGGAGAGGCTGAGCTGCCCACCTTCGTCCGGGAGCAGACAGCCAGCAAATTACCGTAACTCTTGCTGCGTAAGAGCGATTCGGCACCTGGTTTTACCAGGGCTCCAGGGACTAAATGAAACAAACCGAAAGCAAACCCAGAGGACAAGCAGCAGCTAAAGACAACGCAGGGGTTCTGTGACCGCAGACAGAAGCGCGGCTGACTCCGGACACGACCCTGCCAGGGGCCCGGCGCCCCTGCTCTACCTCTCAGCTACCAAAGACCAATTCTAGCCCTACAAATAAGGCCCAGCGCGGGTCTTCGCCGTTCGTCTCAAAACAGAAATAAATCGGCTACGTCACAGGCTGCAGAGGAGGAGCAGGGGGTCCAGCTCGGTTTGTTCTGCGAGCCGGGGCCGGCGGCTGCGAGAGCGGGGAACAGACCCCGTCCCTGGGCCCGTCGGTGGGGGCGAAGGCGGCGCCGGAGACTGTGCCAAGACAGCGAGCGCCGGGCAACGAGGGACGCGCAAGCCCCACAGGGAGGAGGCCGGCAGCAGGGCCGAGGACCAGGGGTCCGAGAAGGGGAGCGGCGCCCCGCGCGCGCCAGGCAGGGAGCAGGGACGGGAGGGGAAACAGACCCCAGGCCCCGCGAGGAACCGGCTCCGCCGCTCCAGCCGCTGCCACCTCACAGCCTCGGCCCGCGGCTTCCTCTTCCGCTCCCTGTCAGTCACCCGTCTCTATGGTGACCGCATCCGGCCGCTCGCTCCGCCCGCGCCCTCTCTATGGTCGCCCCGCCCCCTGCTCCGCCCCCGCCCCGCCTGCCCAGCGGGAAGGCGCGTACATTCTGCTGCCGCTAACCCGAGTGAAGCGGGTGGACCCAAGGTGCCTGGCTGCTTCAGCTCAACTCTATCTGCCCTGGAAAAAGCGTGACCTCCGCCTCAATGAACACGCTGCCTCTCGCAATCATCCATTCAATTACTTAAGAAATATGTGTCGTTTGCCAGATATGTAAGTTCTTAAGGACGCTGAGTTACAGGCATCTTTGGGAGTGCTGGTTAAACATGTAGTGGACGAGATAGCCATGGTCCCTGCCCTCAAGGAGCTGAGAGTTGAGGGAGACAGGCAATAAACACACTCTGACATGCCAAAAATAAAACTTAGGTAGAGATCACTAACTGTGATGAGTACCACTGCAGAAAGGTACAGAGTCCGGTGGAAAACAAAGCAGAAGTATTACAGTATATTGAGGATTTGGGAATGCTGAGATCCAAATGTTCAGTACGAGTTATCAAGACACGAAGTGGAGAGTTTTCCGTGCAAATAAAAGAGCACACGGAAGTACTGAGAGGAAAGGGATTGGCCTAGAGAAAAACGGGGAAGGCCAGGGCAGCTAGAGCTTGGTGAGGGGAGATCGGCCCAAGGTGAGGCTAGCCGGCAGGAACAGCCTCGGACAACCAACCAGGACGGCACCATCCCCAGGGAGCAATTTGGAAATGTACTGGGGCAATTTTGTTGTCAAGTGATTAGGGGGTGGAGGGGAAGGGAGGCCAAGGATGCTCAATGCACGTTGCAAGATAGTATCACACAAGAAAACTGTCCTGATCCTACACAACTTTCAAATGTCATACTGAACAACATTCATATAGGTGAAAAAACTGGTTATAATCATCTGATCCTTGTGCCTGTATTTTATACATATATAAAAAAGTAATCCTGCAGGGTTGTAAAATGTGCTGTTTTCAAGGAATATAAATATCATGCAAATGGAAAGAAGATTGTACTTTGTTGTGTCTGGAATTTACTAGGAGTTATTCACCATTTTGGAGAACTGTATCACTGACAGCCGTATCATTCATGCTGTTCAGTCTGCATTTATACTGTCACATTCAAGGTGATCCCATGTACAGGTACAAGCATCTGACTAATTATGTTTTCTAGTATGCTGAAATAAAAGTATTATTTTATTATAAAGGATCTCCTTTTCTTTTTTCTTTTTCTTTTGGTTAAGATATCATTTTTTTTTTTTTTTGAGACAGGGTCTCGCTCTGTTGGCCAGGCTAGAGTGCAGTGGCATCATCATGGCTCACTGCAACCTTCAATTCCTGGGCTCAAGCCATCCTCCTGCCTCAACCTCACACTACCACACCTGGAAAATTTTTGTATTTTTTGTAGAGATGAGGTCTTGCTATGTTGCTCTGGTTGGTCTTGGAACTCCTGGCCTCAGCCTCCCAAAGTGCTGGGAGTACAGGTGTGAGCCACCACACCCGGCCTACACCATAATTTTTTGAAATTATGTGTATAGTTAGGTTATATCATCAATGAACTTAATTTCAAAATAGTAAAAGGGTGTTATGAAAAAGGGAACATTGGGGCTGGTAAAGTTAAGAACCACCATTCTAGTATATATATAGAACTCACCTGATATATTACCTACTGACACTGTTATTCCTGTGTTTTGTCTTATCCTCAGACTGCAACTGGATCTCCTCTTAGCAACTGGCACATGATAGGTGGTAAATGAATGACTTGTTAGAAGAGACTCTGGGAAACACAATAGGGACACTCAGCTAGAGGTCAGAAGATTTCTAGACCAGTGCTACCCAGTTGAAATATAATGCATGCCACAAACATGAGCCATATGTGGAATTTAAAATTTTCTGGTAGCCACATTTTTTAATAAAAAGAAACAGATGAGAGTAACTTTTTAATTGTATTATTGAATATACGCAAACTATTATTTCAACATGTAATCAATGTGAAAAATTACTGATGACATATTTTACATTCTTTTTTTCTCATATGCAGTCTTTGAAATCTGATGCATGTTTTATACTTACAGCATTATCTCAATTTGGACTAGCCACATTTTATGTGCTCCATAGCCACATGTGGCTGGAGACTACAGGATTGAACAGTGAGGTTCCAGTCTCTTTCCAGTTACTAAGTTCCTAGGTAATTCTCAATGAGACATTTCCTTCATTGGGTCTCAGTTTCTTCATATTTTAAACAGAGGCTAAACCAAGTGTTCTTACTTCCAGCACTGGCCTTCTGTGATTTTTTTCATATTTAGCCAGTCCTTTTCTCCTCCTATCTTTCTACTTCTTTTTCTGCCCCTGCTCCCATTTTCCCATTTCTCTTTCCCCATTTCTTCTCACTTCATCCTGAGTTCTTTTCCCTGCAAAGGATCCAAACCCTGGGTGGGAAAGGTAGAACTTCTAAGTGGCCAACAGGTTTTCTAAGCCATTCTTGTGTGCTGAGGGAGACTCTGCCCAGTACCTGTTCATTCACAGGAAATCATCGATGTTATTGGCTGCTATGCAGGTGGATTTAGAGAAGTTAACTAGACTTTTCCTTGCCACTCCCAGCCGTTTTAAAGCTAGAGTTCCTAAGATTTCAGCCTCAAATCCAGGCAGTCTCTCCAACCAGCAGTGCTGTTTTATTAAAAGGTCTGTGTTTTTAATAAATCTGCAAAATGGTAATAATATCCACCTCAGAGTTTGTTGGAGGGGATTAAATATGCTGACATAAATGAAAGAGCACAATAAATGTTCGTATTCTCTGTAAACTCTAACCTGCTGGTAACCATGCATTTGAGATGAGGCTGAGAGGAGGAGGCACATTGTGGCCAATGCTCAGGAGGCTCAGGTGCTTGAATGAGTGCTTTTTCTATGATCCACAACCATATATAACTCCTTCACTTCATACAGAAGGGCTCTGCAGTCACTTAACTATATATTTTTAAACATTATCATTCCCATTTTACAGAGGAGTGTATGTACTTTGCCCAAGGTTGCATGCTGTGAATGGCAGAATTACGGTTTGAATGCAGGCAGTCTGACCCCAAGTTCCTGCTCTTAATTATGCTATGCCAAGTGAGGTCCCCACCTAAGTACTCCAGCAGCCACACAAAAGTCACTTCTTTTAGGGCACTTACCACCTGAATGTCATGGTCTGTTTACTTTTCAAAAGTTTCTTCTTCATTGTGAGCTCCTTGAGGTCAGGGAGTGACTTGTCACCGTTGCAACTACAGCACCTATCTCTGAGCCTGACATACATTAGGCACTTCATTGGTGGAAGGTATTCTAGTAAAATGCATGTTCAAAGGCATGAAAGTGTCAATCAGCCTGGCTTATCTCTGTACTATATGTACATAAGTTCCACTGGAGCATCAAGTTTGCGGACAAAAACTAGTTCTATGGGGGGTGAGGGGTCAGCTCACCTTTTAAGAGTCATGGGACCATGGGAGAAAAGGTACCACATTTGGAGAATATGGTCACAGGGAGCAACAGCTTCCTCTGCTTCCCTCCAGTGTCACTGATGGTGAGGCATCGCTGGACAGGAGCCTGAAGTAACAAGGATCACAAAAGGCGTGCCTTATATCTGGAACTACAAATTTGGGGTTTACAATGCATGTAACGGGAAGTCGGAAATTTTAAACAGTGGTACTCAAAGGAAAAGTAACGGGCACAGCCACATAGCTAACTGATAATAAATCTAGATTTAGCACAGGGGCATTTTTACTTCAGGGTTCTTAGCACCAAACTTACGCGGCTTCGATGGAAAACCTAACAATTCTGGAGTAAATGGGCGAAGCGGCCAAGGTTCAGAAACAACGTTTGGAACCTTCTAAAAGTTTGTTTAACGGTGGACCAGCCTCTAAAACTTCGGTTTCATGAAACGAGAGCGCCGTTCTTTCATGAAGGAATTGTGCTCGCAACGTCCCCGCGGTGCTGCCAGCACCTCACTCTTCCTCCTCCTCCTCGCTCTATCTCCCACATCTCCTCTCCCATTGTTTCGACCCCCTCCCGCGTGATGCATGCTGGGAAGTGTAGTCGGACGCCGGCTGGCTGAATTGGTTGGGCAGCCGTACAAACTCGGTATCTCCGCATAGCTCAATAGATTTTCGAGAGGTGGGGTAAAGCCTGGAAGGCTCAGCCCGCTTATCCCATGAGCAATCTGGGACTTGCAGTTTCCAGTACCCAAAGTGGTCCGGCCGGCAAATGGGTCTTGGACTCTAATCCCTCCCCCCAACCTCCGAGCCTCGCGCATCTTGATGACGTCACGAGGGCCCGCGAGGTGTTTGGGAAACATGATAGTTCTAGAGCCCGACGCCACCCTTGGCTGCTGCGACTTGAGGACTACACTTCCCAGAAATCAGCGCGGCGGCACGCCAAGAGCTATCCGAGCCTGTGATTGGCTGGTGAGCCGGCCGCACGCGGAGAAGCTCAAGGAGCAGCTCTGTTGCGACAGAGGCCAAGCGGCGAGGCCCAGTGAGTTGGGGGAAGGGGCGCTTAGGAGAGAGGGTGCTGGCCGGTGAGGGGGAAGGAGGACGAGAAGAGGAAGGAGGGACAGGGTCGGGATGGAGGGGGCTGCGAGGAGGAGGAAGACGGGGCCAAGGGAGAGAAGCTGATGGGTGGGGTGTGGGGGAGATTCGGTGGGTGGTGAGTGTGGAGACTCTAAGGGGACTCACCCGGCGGAAGAAGAGTGCGTCCCGGAAAGAAGCTGGGCTCGACGGCCAGCTATGGGAGAGGGACGGCGGAGAAGAGGCCAGAGACGGACGGGAGGAGGAAGCCTGGAAAGAGGCGTCAGGCTGGAGTGCGGAGCGCCAAGTTGTAGGGAAACCGGAGACTGGGACCTATGCGAAGGGGCAGAACCTGG